GTGTGTATATATATATATATATATATATATATATATATATATATATATATATATATATTATACACATATACACACACACACACACACACACACACACACACAGTAGAGATCAAAATTAGAGGACAACCTACAATTTCCTAAATTTCGAGGTCAACGCTTAGTCCTATTTGAAGTTATCCTAAAAAAAGAGTAAAGTACGTTTTTTAAGCATATTTCATAATTTAACTGAATTCTGAAGCACAGTATAAAAAACTTAAATGAAATATTTGAAAAATAACTCTAAGTTATGGGTGTTAATCTGGCAACTGGTGTTAATTTCCTTAATTATATGACAAACCCTATTTAACTGGCAGGATTCCTCAAATTTTCATTGAGATGACGGGCCGCTCTAAGGTGACTGAAAGCCTGCGACAGCAGATTGTCCAGATGAAGGCCAGTAGCAGCGATAGCAAGAGAAGGTGGTCATTCCAAATCTGTGATTTCTTGAATCTTTACAATGAGACTAACTCATTCAAGTCCCCCAAAAAGGCTGGTCGTCCACATAAGACAAATGCACGAGAGGACAGGATAATGCAGAGACTCTCAATGGGGAATCGGTTCAACACTGCAGCTGGAATTGCTCGCCAGTTCAGTGCTGAACAGGGTATGGATCTTTCTCGGCACGTTTAAGAGAAGTCGGACTGAAAGCACATTCTGCAGAGATCAAGCCTCTCTTCTGCAGAGAGAATCAAAAGGCTGGACTCATCTTTGCTGAGGAGCATGTTGTGTGGAGAGAAGAAAACTGATCCAAAGTTCACTTTAGTGATGAGAGCAAGTTTCATTTATTTGGTTCTGATGGGAAACATTTTGTTTGGCGTCAAACTGGGGAAAGACTGAAGCCCGAGTGCATAAAGAAGTCAGTGAAAGGTGGAGGAGGAAGTGTCATGGTGGTTTGAGGGATGTTTGGGCCACTTTTACAGCTACGTGGCAGGAGAATGCAAATATTCATCAGAACTTGCTTCAGCAACATGCAGTTCCTTCCCTGCAAGCATCTTCCGATCAGCCTGCAGTTTACATGCAGGACAATCCTCCCGTCACACTACAAAACGGGTAAAGCAGTTCCTTGAAGCTGAAAACATTGAAATAATGAAATGGCCGGTGAATGATGAAGATTACATTATTTCTGAAAAAATCAAGTGTTCATAAATTGTTCTCTAATTTTGTTCCCTAATGTGTATATATATATATACACAGTGGTGTGAAAAAGTGTTGGCCCCCTTCCTGATTTCTTATTTGTTTGCATGTTTGTCACACTTTAATGTTTCAGATCATCAAACAAATTTAAATATTAGTCAAAGATAACACAAGTAAACACAACATGCAGTTTTTAAATGAAGGTTTGAATTACTGAAATAAATGAACTTTTCCACGACATTCTAATTTATTGAGATGCACCTGTATATATATATAGGCTTCATTTTTGTCTCATTTTCCATTACAAATATCTTCACATTCTTAAATCAAGATACATTTACTTGAGAATCAAAATTACAAGATTAAGCCTTGTTTTCTAAACAACAAAACTGGTGGTCAACGGGGTAAGAAAAGTGAATGATTTTTTGAAATTTCTTTTCTTGTCTTAAGGATAAACTCACTCAATTTTCATCAAATTTTCATTCTCAAGTAAATTTATTAAGTAAGAACTCATTTCTTTTCAGTACCCAGGTACCTTCACCTTTTACATGAAGGGTAAGATGCAGGGAATTTAGTAAGATAATGAGATGTTATGAGGTGTTAAATCTGAAAGGCACTAACGGTATTTTAACCTGATGTTTACAGTGTGTCTTCTGCTGTTATTTACTGAACTGATACGATACCGGTTCTGTAACATGCATGTTTTAGGACATACCCCCGGCCTCATGAATATGTAAATGTCTCTGATCTCCCTGCCTCCTGGGACTGGCGCAACATTGATGGCAAAAACTATGTGAGCGTCACACGCAATCAACACATCCCACAGAACTGCGGCTCCTGCTGGGCCCATGGACTCCACCAGCGCACTCGCAGTTCAGACTCAGGACAATACAGTAGAGTAAAGCGTAATAGAGTACAGAAAATTCAGCTCAAACACATAGATTTTTCTGTCTTAAATTCAGATCGCATCAACATCAAGAGGAAAGGGGCGTGGCCTTCTGCTTACCTGTCAGTGCAGAATGTGATTGACTGTGGCGGGGTGGGCTCATGCTACGGTGGAGATCACATGGGCGTATATGCTTATGCACATGAGCGGGGCATTCCTGACGAGACCTGCAATAATTATCAGGCCCGAAATCAAAGTAAGACACCAAACTCTGCAATGACATGATATGCTGTGAAAATGTATGGAAGCCCATTTCCGCCATGGCATTAAAAAAAAAGTTAAAAAGGTAATTCCATTATGGACTTTTTATCTCACAATTTTGACTTTTTCCTCGCAAATGAAAGAAAAAAGGTCAGAAGTGTGAGACACAAAGTTAGAATTGCGAGATAAACGTGCATTTCTAAGAAAATAGTCAGAAACACAAGATATAAACTCGTAATTCTGAGAAAAAAGTCAGAATTACAAGATATGAAGTTAGAATTGCGAGATATAAACTCATAATTGCAAGATATAAAGTTATAATTCTAAGAAAAAATTGTGAAATACAAACTTGCAATTCTGAGAAAAAGTAGTGAATGTGAGATACTGTATAAACTCGAGAAAAAGTAAGAATTGTGAGATAAAAATTCACAGTTACCTTTTATTTTTTATTATGTGGCAGAAACAAAAAAATAGAATTGCAATATTTAAATTCAGAATTACAAGATGTAAACTCAGAATTTACAACTGAGTCAGAATTGCGAGAATAAAAGTCAGAATTGTGACAATTGCCTTAATTTATCTTGTAGCAGAAACAGGCTTCCATAAAAATGTCATATGAGTTGCATTTAAACGGCTTTTTTTTAATAATTTCAACACGCAAATGTCATATAAATGTATAAATTAAAACTTTTGTCCAAGTAACAATAACTGCACTAATCATACAATAATTACTCGTGCATATTATGCACATTGTAACAGTGAAGTAGAAGTACATTGCGAGTTGTGGCGGATTTAAATACATGTCTTATTTTTCTTCTCTAATTTATTATTTTTTTTGGCAGAATGTGACTCCTTTAATCAGTGTGGCACATGCTCGTTCTTCGGCTCCTGCTCGATAATTAAAAACTACACCGTGTGGAAAGTTGGAGATTATAGAGACGTCTCAGGATGAGACCGAATGAAGGCTGAGATTTACAAAAATGGGCCAATCAGGCAGGTTCTTCAGCCCATATTTTGAGTTAGATATAAATTTAAAAAGTAAGCCACAACTCTCCTACTGTTGGGCGTCAATGGCAGCAAAATCAATATGATGCAAATGATAAAAGTATTTGGCTATAGTTCATGAACAGTTTTTACAGCAGGGTTATTATAGTCAACTAAAACTAAAACCATAAAAACAGTTACCTGACCAAAAAAAAAAAAAAAAAAAAAAAAAAAAAAAAAAGTAAAAAACATTACATCACCGAATCACATCATCTCAGTGGCAGGATGGGGCATCACAGAGGACGGGACCGAATACTGGATCGTCAGAAACTCCTGGGGTGAGTTCTGGGTTAGTAGTGACAGCGTCCTTTGGGCTTTGGTCTGATCTCTGCTTAGTTTTACCACTATCATATGAGGCCTATAGATTTAAGAAAAAAGTCTAATCAATTAAACACATTAAAGAAATAATTTATCTCAAAATTTTAAATTACTCACCCATTTGGTGGCTTTCAACTTTCCTCTGTCACTTTCCAAAACCTTCACTCTCTCTTCTCCTCTCTGGTGGAATTGCTTATGCAGCTCTATCGTAAGTCACTTTGGATAAAAGCAACTGCTAAATGCATAAATGTAAATGGATCATATAAAGGAAGGCGAAATTCTGAAGACTGTGCTGGTTTCTCCTTTTCATGCAATTACAAAACCTTTTCTTGAACACGCAGTGTGTTAGAATGGGGGTGATTAAACCCTGTGTTGTGTTTTATAGGTGGAGTCAGGATGGGCCAGGATTGTCACCAGTGCATATAAGGGAGGGAAAGGAAACTGGTACAATCTCGCCATCGAGCACTACTGTGCATACGGAGACCCGATCGTAACATAGATCAGGAGGAGCCATCTGGAGCAGTTCCTCTCATAGAATTAGGATTGACTCAATCTTGGAATTGACCTGGGATCAGACCTCACCGAGCAACATAGACACTATTTATAATTGCTAAGAAATATAATTATTCTGGTGTTCTGGGTGTAAATAATTGTTGTCATATCAAACATGGGAGATGTGTTACATTACAATTTTTGTAGTAGAGTGAGAATGGAAATGAGTGATAGTACACAATTACGTGATACTTGATTATTTTATTAAAAATCACCATGTAAAATTTGCCAAACACTTTCGGAGTTTTAAAGGTTGGAAACTTTAATTTAATACTGAAATATTACACATCATAAATCAGAACTCTCCCTATAATTGCACTTTACTATACTTGTTTTTGTTCTAAACAGAACACTAAAACAAAATGAAACCTCTATTCTAAAATCAATTCTGTACTTTTAGCCGTGTAGCAATTTAATAGTTTTTTTCTTTCTCGTTTTGTCTATTGCAGTCACTGAATGAATCTCTCTAACCTGTTAAAAAATCTTGTCATTATTTTCCTTAAAGGGATATTTTACCCAAAAATGTCATGATTTAATCACCCTCAAGTTGTTTTAAGAATATTTTGAAGAATTTTGGTAAACTAACAGTTGACGGTAGCCATTGACTTCCATTGTATTTTTTTTTCATAATGGCTTTGCAATGTACAGATCATAAAGCATGTAAAAACATGAATGCATGTTTGTGTTATTAAATGCCAGACTTACAGTGCAACAGCACTTTGGGTCTAAGCTCCGTCTCTCTATTCATCAGTGGTGCACTTGGTGAGAAGGTTGAAGACTCCTGCTGTATAATGTCAAGAGAGAAAAAATATAGTAAAATAAATGTAAAACATTTCTACATCAGGGTTGTATTTGTTGTTTGCCTTTAATTTATGTGGACTTTATTTTAAAGTGATTGTGTCTAGACAAGATGATTTCCACTGCTATATTACAGTAATGACAATTTAATAAGAATCGAGAATAATTATAATTCAAACAATAATAACAATTTTGAAGCGCTAATATATAAACACAAGCACCTGAAAGCATTACAGTCATGAAAATTTGTGAAGGAAAAATATCTAATTATCACGCAATTAAAGGTGGGGTAAGTGATTTCTGGTAGCCAGTGTTGATATTTCAAATCACCAAAACAAACACGCCCCTACCCCAAAAGGGTCTCGTCCCTATTTTGATAGCTCCGCCCCACACATACATACCCAACCCAGGCAACGATTATGACACACAAGCTTATTCAAGCAAAAGCCAGCATATATTAGTTCTGTGAAACAAAGCAAAACTAATGTTACTCACCTATCGTGAAGAAACAAAACAACTTCGACGTCCGATCGCAGACCTTCCTGCTCCTTGAGTTCTCTCCAGCGCTGGAAAGCTGATCCGATATTTACACGGGTCCTACTTCTTGCCTTATCGTAAGCCTTCTTTTGTTACGCAGACGGGTTCCTCTTTTGTTTTTTTATCCGCCATCTCTATCTTTCTGTCGTTGCTCGGCTCGGCTAATGTCCCAGTGCATCCTGTGCACTGAGCGCTCTCTCCTCCACATCATGAGTAGACACGCCCCTTACTGCTGATTGGCTTCAAGTTTGTTTTGCTACCCTGCCGACTCAGTTTTCTAAAGCGTTTTTGAAAAAATACATGCCCCATCTTTAACATCTAGTTTTCATCATGTACTATGTATATTAGTCTATAGCTAACATAAGTCTGACATGGTAATTATGGCAACCGCTGGAGTAGTTTGCGCTATGATATATATAGAAGTTAGATTAACAAAACATTTAGTATTGTCATTATTACTTTATTATGCATCAACATAATAAAGTAATAAATACTTGCTCAAAGTCTAATTTACTAACAAATTAAAAAAAAATGGAAGAAAAATCCCGACAGAAATTCCTTTAAGGTCATTTATACATGGCGTATGTTTATACGTGATGCCTGCCTGGTGCCCGTTTGCTTTCTCTCTCATCTGGGCTTAGCAACAGCACTAGCAGACACTGCATTGGTCAGAACTGACTGAAGGAAGCCCTGCAGTTCGTTACATCTCCTGTCAGTCAAACAGAACACGAACCAAGACATGGTTCCCGGCTACAGGAGAAAACAAGGGCACTGGGCTGGATAATTACCCAGGCGTGAGGATGCTGAGAGGCGCAGCCCTCTTCTGTCTCTCTCCGCGGCTCAACTCTGGATGCCATTGGATCGCTTTTATTAAGATGCATCATTTGATCTCTGTGCACCTGAATGCGTTTGCTTTAATGTGATTTCAAATGGCTTAAATCTAGATTAGAATGAGGATGCCAAATATCTCTCGTCTGCTCTGCAGAATCCGATTAAATGACATAAGCGAGTTGAATTGATAGATTAGAGGCATTATAACTGCTTTCATTGTTTTTAAGATCATAAATCCTCTATCAAATATTTGTGCATCATTTACTGAGCTTGCAAATCCGATTCGTTTTACAAGCATCGATCCAGGTAAGAATCATATTTCAAAATCATTCATATTCATACGCATAATGCAAGGTTGCATACTAGCTACCAGTGTTTGTGACACAGTATGCAGTATGCATTGTGTTTTGCAAAACTGCATCTCTGCTACGTGCGTTGCGCAGCAACCAATCAATGATGCCGTTGATGTGTTCAGAAGTGTTACATTTTTTGGCATGATGAAACCATGGCAAATTGCTCTATGAGATGCAAAAAGACAATATTAACAGTGATTGCAAGAGGCTTAATGAGGCATCGTTGTTGCAGTGATGCATTGCAGTGCATCATGTATTAAAACACCATCCATCCATACTTAAATGACTTGCATTCTAAGCATGCTTCAATGACAGCACAGTGAAGCCCATGTGGGGTTGGTTGGGACTGTACATATTGTACCTAATGTAGGTTACTAAGCAATGTACTGTACAGCAGTCTGCCTACACACTCCAATTCTGCATTGCAGCTTGATTGATGACACACCAAAACACACTCCCACTTGGCAAATGTAGGGCAATGCGTGCAAGAGTTTGCTTTGGCTTTCATGTATGAATAGAATTATTTCTTTATATGAAATATGCAATAGCAAGACTAGGATAAAATCAATTAATAAGCTGTTATTCCCAGTAATATGCAGTGTATTCATAGTGTACGTCAAAGCTGACTTTAATACACTAGGAATAGCAAAAGAAAAAAAAAGTAAAATAATGGTTAAAATGGGGACTGAACAGCTTGATCACTGCAACAAGAGGTCCTGGTAAAAATGCAAATCACTTCTTAGATTTTTTTTTTCATTAAATAATTTGATATATTATTAAAAGGTAGAGTTAATCAGTGTGCTGTGTTTGTTAATAAAACAAATGGGTTTTTGCTTTAAAGAAACAGTTCACCCAGAAATTAAAATTTGCTGAAAATGTACTCAGCTTTAGATCATTAAATATGTAGATGAGTTTGTTTCTTCATTTGGAGAAATGAAGCATCACATCACTTGTTCAGCAATGGATCCTCTGCAGTGAATGGGTGCCATCAGAATGAGAGTCTAAACAGCTGATAAAAACATCACAATAATCCACAAGTAATCCACACCACTCCAGTCCATCAGTTAATGCCTTGTGAAGCCAAAAGCTGCGTGTTTGTAAGAAACAAATCCATCATTAAGACGTTTTAACTTCAAACCAGTTGTGTCCAGCTAAAATACAAGTCCTCTACCCATAATATGGCTTTCTCCAATAAAAAAAGATGTCTCGTCTGAATCAGGAGCGAAATCTTCACAGATCAAGCACTGTTTACAAGTGAAAACAGTCCAAAACAGCTCTAAACAAATATGTGGCTGGATTTTGATGCGAGAGACAACAGGAAATGGACACTTTCACTGGAGGAAGCGTTATTATGGATTACGGACTTTGGGCAGAAGTAAGATGAAAAACATCTTAATAATGGATTAGTTTCTTATAAAAATGCATATTTTCTCTTCACAAGGCATTAACTGATGGACTGGAGTGGTGTGGATTATTTGTGGATTTTTGTGATGTTTTTATCAGCTGTTTGGAATCTCATTCTGACGGCACCCATTCACTGCAGAGCATCCATTGATGAGCAAGTGATGCAATGCTACATTTCTCCAAATCTGATGAAGAAACAAACTCATCTACATCTTGAATGTCCTGAGGTTGGGTAAGTTTTTGGGTAAATAATTTCAATGCTTTTATTATTGCTGCTGCAAAATTCCAAATTAGTACAGTGTAGCACAATGAAATAGAAAGGACCTTTCCTCTCTCCTTCCATCGTTCTTTCACTCTGTGAATCTAATTAGCGTTCCTGTGGAGATGTGGCAAACAGCAGCTGATGCAGGAGAATCATTAGCTAATTGACAGCATCGATGTTTTCCTCCCCATCTGCAAATCACTCAGTTGCGTCGGTTTTTCAAACTTGATATCAGTTTTTTCTCTAGCATCCTTAGAGATTAAAGAAATAGTTTAACCAAATATGAAAAATCTGTCATCTGCTCACCCTCAAAACGCTTGCACTTCTTCTGTAGCTTCTCCTCCTCGTCTTTTACGGCATTGTTTTTCTGTCTGTTCCTCACGCAAAGCTTTTGTACAACTGAGGACTGAGAAATCAAGATGAAACAGCATCTGCAGCCTATTTTACTGCCATGCTGACTGATTAGCTAATATTTGGCCAATTTGAGATGACTGGAATCAGCTGATAACCCACAAAACCAACCTAAATTTCAGTTTTCAGATTTTCTAGTCAATCATGAATAAACAATCAATTGAGAATCTGTGATTGAAAAACGAATCGTGTTTGACCAACAGAAGTTCTCGGACGTAAAACTGAGCTCTAACCTCATTGCATAATACCTAGAGATTTACTATGGCAGAATCAGGCATTGATTTTCGTGCAGGTGCTGAAGTCGACACTTTCACCGCTGCAGATGCCAGCATAATAGTATCGCTCTAGCAAAAACAGCAATTCCTAGAGGATCCAGGAAGGTCTTTACATTTGTGAGACTTTAAAATCACGGGTCTTTGACAAAACTACTGTAAATCTGAATATGCAATGACCCCAAACAACCTTTGGACACTCAAAAATGCCAGAATATCATTGCATTAGATACTAAATATCAAAACAAGTGTCTGTATGCATCTCAAATGCTGCTTCTCTACACTAACTTTACTTTTCTTCATCATTTTTGAAGTTTCAACATCTTTGAATCAAGTGTTTTGGTGATGTTTAGTCGACATGTGAAGTCAGTTCTCCTCAAGTTCAGATAAAAAACACTTGCTTTGATATTTTGTTATATATGCATGACAATGATGTACTGATATTTTTAAGTGTAGAACCTTCAAATACATTTTGAAATCACTGTATATGACCACAGTGACTAGCAATAGCAGTTTTATGGTTAAAACTAAAAGTGGTTGAAATATATAATTTTTACATCAAGAAGCTCTACGTTTGATTAATAATACATGACCGCTAAAAACCTTCTCTCATTCAGTCTGAATAATGTATGGCCCCTCAAGATGAATATGAAGGGCCAGTAAGGACAGAAGAGGTGGAATTAAGGATGACTAATCCTGGATGTCTCTGGCTGCAGGACAGGAAGCTCCGAGCTGCTGCGTCTGTCAAAGCTACTGTCTGCTGACTGATAGGGCTGTGAGAGACAAGGAAAACATTTCAGAAGAGCTAGACAGAGCGTAGAGTAGAGGACTGTGAATATATTAGCAAGCACAGCTAAAAAACAGTGAAACTGCACACCTCACATAACAACCATCTACTGAAAGACAACTGGGGAAAAAAAATGGTGTAGAAACTATTTTCACTCAGACACTGCTAGTACATTTCAAACACAGAAACTTAAAGTAACACATTAAATTGAGCGTAAAATGCATTTTCTAAAAAGTATTTTCTAGTAAAACACACTCCAATAATCTTCATTTACAACAACAACAAAAAAAAGACCTAGTCCTACAAATATAGGCTTAAACATGTTATGCCCATTTACTGTACGTTTATTTACACATTTCATTATTGTTTACATCTGCATATTATTTACATTTACATATTCAATTATATCACAGTAGTTTACATATTACATATTTCAACATTAACATTTGCATATTATATTGCAATATAAATGAAAATGTTTTTACACGAGAATAATTCATCTGTCTATGCATGTTTATATATTATGCTTACATTGACATGTTGTTTACATTTACATATTAAATTATATTGCAATATGACATTTCGGTCATACATTATTTTAAAGTCCAATTCTCGCTATTAACAAACCATTAACTATGACTTTTGCCTCAATAAACTCCTAATTTGCTGCTGATTAATAGTTAGTAAGGTAGTTGTTAAGTTTAGGTATGGAGTCGGATTAGGGATGTAGAATATGGTCATGCAGAATGTGCTTTATAAGTACTAATAAACAGCCAATGTGTTAATAATAGGCATGCTGATAAGCAACTAGTTAATAGTGAGAATTGGTCCCTATACTAAAGTGTTACTGACATTTCTAGCTACACTGTACAAAAAAATTAATTTAAAGATTATTGAAGTACTTTTTACAAGAAAATGCTATTTTAGTCTTTCTACTTCTAAATTTGATGTTTAATTCAATGTGTTACTTGCTGTTTCTTTGTAATTATTTGTGAAAAGTAACAAAATCTACCCATTTCTGATTGAAAATTGTTTAAAATAATTGATGTTTTACAAAATAATTAATTTTGATTGCAATTATCAGTCGTAGCACTGCAAAGATACTCAATACAAAATACAGCAACATTTCAGAAGCACTTTTATTTGTGATCAGCAACTGTGTGTTTCTGGCCCGATTATTATTTCATGAGTCATGGTGCATGGAAATTGTGTTCAAACTAATAATTCAGCTCAGGGTCTATGTATATCATTTATTCAGGATGCATCCAACACATCCTGAGCTGCTGTCTGTTTTAATGTCTCATTGCCCTCGGTGTGACTGTATCTAATCTAGCCGGCACAGAAATCAACCACTGTAAATATTCACTAGCAGTAACCTAATTCAGGAACATCATTTACTACTAAGAAACAATCACAGCTACACAGATGCATTTATATTCATTCATATGCAAATATCACTTTAGTCATGTTCTATAGTGGCGGTTTTCTCCATTAGTACCCAAGGGAAGCATGCTGGAAGAACCCGGGCTATTTTTAGATCCTTGTCTAGGTCACAATATGAATCATTTTCTCTACTAGGATGCCGTTGGCAAGATCCAAGCAACATGCAGCACACTCTGTTCCCACTGTAACCTGCTTTTACTGCGGTTATTTGCATGGGTGAGTCTGTGTGCATTTTAAGATTTTCCTAAATACTTACTTCCATAGTGTCTCTCACTCATGGAGGAATTTATTTAATCAGAATTTACTCTCTTAAAGGGGTCATATGATGCTTTTTTAAAGATCATTATTTTGTGTATTTGGTGTAACAGAATATGTTGACATGCTTTAATCTTCAAAAAACACATTATTTTTCAAATACTGTACATTATTGTAGGTCCTCTATGCCCCGCCTCTCTCAAACGCTTCGTTTTCTACAAAGTCTGATTGGCCAGCTGACCCAGTGCATTGTGATTGGCCGAACACCGCAAGCACTCGTCGGAAATGTAACGCCCCTTACCATAATCGCGAGCTTCATCTTTCAAAATAAATGTAAAGACAGAGCCCGAAAGGGGAACAGAGTCGCGT